AGATGCAAGATGCAAGATGGAAGATGGAAGATTCAAGATGCAACATCCAGCAAGCAACATGCAACAAAAAGTTTACCAATTTCTTCAAAATAGCTGTATTAACTGAAGCACGAGAAACAAGAGTTAAGCAGGTTTCATGGTGTCATACCTTCGTGTTTGTGACCTTGAGAAGTCGCTTTGAGAATCCATCCTTGTCTTCTCTCGTCTCTACCTCCAGCATTAACAAACCATACACCACAAATTCGCCTTTATTTGGTAAATACGACTCTCCCTAGAGGGTAGACAACAACGTCATACTATGCATTTAATAYGAAAAAAAGTTTTTAAAATTGATTTTAAGGTCGTAACTATGTACTAAACTATTCGAATCTAAGAATTTCTTTAAATGACGATCAAACAATGGCTTTAAGTCGAAGTTGGAGTGACCCTTTCACAGCACTTGCTGTATTCTCATACCCAGTTTGAAGAAGACTTGAAGCCATTGTCACGTGAATATTTCAGCAATTTGCTGAGTTTTGCTTGACGTCATTTCCTGTCTAGTGCAGATTGTCATCACCTGAATCACAAGTTTTTAATAGAATTCTTTCTGGCTGACAGCACGTGGTCAGTGTTCGATCACCATTTGGAGTAGATAATGAGATTCAAAGAGTTATCAGCTGATTGAAACACAGCAGTAAAAAATTGGAATGTTCTTTCATCCTTGATAGGATAAAGAACTGATGTTGACAAAGTTTTCATATGACAAAAAAATATTCGTATGCCATGACAAAGGCTTTACTAAACTCTAATAAACAAGATGCATTGTGGTCTAGCTTGAGTAAAAAAATTATAGCAATAATAATAATATTAATTTTTTAAAATTAAACGCATAATCATACAATCAATCATCTCAATGCTTTTTACGAAAAAATATATATATATTATACTTATTTCAATAAAGTTAGTCACCAAAAACCTTGAAAGCTGTGATCGCTGACAATCATGGGAAATATTATATATCCAACAAGTAAAGATTTTGACACAAACTGCAGCAGTTGAAGATGCTCAGAGGAGGTGAACTTGTAACTGGTAGAAGATCTCAAGTCCATCAACAGTTATCAAGCGGTTAAAACATATAAAATGTATCTACCCATAATCCTTGTCGGTCTCAGCTTTGTAGCTTTTCTGGTGACTAGCTTTATTGAAATAAGTGTATATACATGAGAAATGAACTAGAATAGATAATTAACACCATATAAGACATGATGAACAAAAGATGTTTCTACCCAAGCTAGACCACAATGCACCATGTTCATTATCCCACAAAGGGTCTATATTGTAGATGACTGTCATTACCTGGTCATTTTCCGAGTCCTTGTTCAACATGACGATGTTGTAAGACTCATACTCCCAGACCATCCTCCACAGTTCGGGTTTTGTACTGTCGAGAGGGGTCTGCGTTGCTAAGAAAGCCTCTCGCTGTTGGTAACTCTGGAAAATACAAAAACAAATCTTACTCTGAGCTAGCGAGAGCGCTTCTTACTTGAAGCGTATCAGAGATGAAGCATCGTCTTGGCCTATCATGACTTGCGCTTTTTCAGCCAATCAAATCTCGCACCCTATTTCTAAACCAATCGAACGCGTGTATGCTCTCAATCAATCAGGATACAAATATGATTTTGGCCAAGTTTTACCCAATCAAATTAGATCTCAATAAGGTTCGTGAAATTTCAAGTATTTGTTGAAATTGTGCATTCTTTACGTTGCAGTTGGTATTTGTGAATATTTAGACACTGATTCGAGGCTAACCCTGAGTAAATGAATCGGTAGTCATTGAACACAGCAGCATTCTACGAAATCGATAAACGTATATGAGGGCGCTAGCAAATTTTCATTCGATCACGACGCGCGCAATAATCTAAATGAATCACGATTGATATATAATAAGGTTACGAAAATACTTTCAACCAATCAGGATTCGCACAAACGGTCATATATATATATATACTCGCAGAGACTCTACCAATCACAAGAGTCCAGTTTCACAGAATGCTTTACTATACTTACATCAACAAAACTAGCGTTGATATAGTCCGACCCAACTACGCCTGGATATGGCCACAGCTTGACTCGGGTCCTGTCATCTGGGGATACAACAACAGAAGCATATTACTACAAGGCTGTCTCGTTTTCTTGACAATGGGAAAGGTTCGAGATAACGACACCTTTGAGATATCTAAGGAGAACGGAATTCACGTTAGGGTGAACCCCCTCATAATTGTTTCTCGGGTAACACAAGACTTTGTATAGACACTAATATACGAGGCGGATCTATCGCGCAATTATTAATACTACTTCAGAAAGGACAGACATGGAGGTCCAATAGATGACCCTGAGGAACACCACAGTCTATCCTACTTACATGGCAGAATAACGTGACGGTTCTTGGACTTGTTCTCTGGTAGCGAGGCAGCGTCGAAAGTGTCCACTTCTGAATCACCGATGTCAAGATTCTGTAAGAACAAAACAACTTGCTTGAAGATACTTATAATATTTGATACGTGATACTTGAGGTAAGGATGATGATGGYGTTGAGGATATGGTCATGATTATAGTAATGGTAATGGTGAAGTTGGTGATGATGATCAAAATTATGGTGATGATGGCTGTGGTGGCGAACAATAATGATGTTGCAGTAGTGATGATGATGTGATGGTGGTATTGGTGATAGTGATGTGGTTGAGGTAGTAATGGTGGTGGTAGTGGTGGTGGTGGTGATGGTAATGACAGTGATGCGGTGGTGGTAGTGGAGATAGTGATGTGGTTGAGGTAGTAATGGTGGTGGTAGTGGTGGTGGTAATGACAGTGATGYGGTGGTGGTAGTTGTGGTAACAGTGGTGATGGTGATGCATGGTGGTGGAGTGGGTCGTAGTGGTAGTTGTAGTAGTAATGGTAGTGGTAGTTTTAATAGTGATGTGGTGGTGGTGGTAGTGTTGATGATGGTGATGACAGTGATAAGGTGGCGCAGGTATTAGTGATAGTGATAGCGATATGGTAGTGGTAGCGACTATGAGTTACCTTAAATTCTTGTGCCAGCAGGGTCTCTCCAGTCTGTGGATCACGTGACTGCAGGTGTTTTAACTTCTCGTGCAGTTCTTGTACCTTGAATTCTGTTGTACCACATTTGACGGCTTCCATCAGCGCATCGTACAGAAAGAAATATTGTGCCTGAGAGATAAAGGTGGTATTAATATTATGGGAAATTGAGGAACTGACCGACCAACTAACCGACTGACCAGCTAACCGACCGACCAACTAACCAACAGACCAACTAACCCACCGACCAACTAACCTACTGACCAACTAACCGACCGACCAACTAACCAACCGACCGACCAACTAACCGACCAACCAACTTACCGACCGACCAACTAACTGACCAACAAACCAACCAACCAACCAACTAACCCACCGACCAACTAACCGACCAAATGATTTACAAATAAACAGAACAAAGACTGGCCAAGTGAAAAAGTAACTGAAGAATCTACTGAACAGCCCAGCGACCAAGTGAAGGCCAAGCAATTGACCAACACTCTGGCTGACCAACTGACTGACTATCTGAACGAACCGCCCAATAAACTGACCAAAGACTGGCCAACCGATTGGCTGGACTTAGCAACCAACCGGGTGGTTCAATTCTTACCTCTGTCTGGACCATCATTGTTCGCTGTTGTCGCATGTGAGTGATAAACCCATATGGATCAACAACACTCTCGTTTTCCATCTGATCCATCATGGCGTCCAGAACAATATAGGTACCAGTACGACCTACACCAGCACTAGAAATGTATAACACAGAAGTTTAAGTATAATATTGATAATAAAGTAGTTTAAACCTTGAATATTAAATAAAGACCCCAGTTTTAACATGAGACATTAAACTTGAGACCCCAGAGGTGAGAGGTGACTGCACTACCCCTTAACCAACCTTGATTCACTAATGTATGTGATGTTGAGTCCAGGAATCAAACTTGAGACCCCAGAGGTGAGAGGCGAGTGCACTACCACTACACCACCCTTGATTCACTAATGTATGTGATGCCAAGTCCAGGAATTAAACCTTATACCTCTGAGGTGAAACGTGAGTGCAGTACCACTTAACCACCCCTGATTTTCTAAGGAATATTCACCCAAGAGTGCAACGCTTATTGAGGGATCTTTGTTCTACTAATACAAAACACAAAGACAGTAAAATTCGTTTACCTGCAGTGTACAACCACAGGACCAGGATTTGAAGGTAGCAATGCCCTCACTCGACGTATGAAGGCCAGTAAAGAGGTAGCATGTGATGGTACGCCATGGTCTGGCCAGGCAGTGTAGTGGTACTGAGTCACGTGATGCACCGGCTGTTCACTATTATTATTCTGAAAGATAATTATTACAGCTGATTAACATATCAGGCACGTGACAGAATAGCGTGATATCCTGTACGTTAGAATTAATGTCCCGTATGTAACCTATTAGACCAGTTTCGAATTTCAAGTTACCGCTGTGTTCCTTGATTACAGTCTCATTTTACCAGACTTAGCCTCGTATCAGTGTCACAATATTCACAAATACCAAGGGTGAAGTAAAGAAAGCACAACTTCAACAATACAAACACTTTGAAACTTGACGGACCTTCACTGGAACACGTGAATATTCTGTGCAAAATCGAGGCTAACCCTGAGCAACTGAGAACTGAAAACTAGAGTATTAAAGACCCCACACTCGATTGGAAACGATGTCTATATAAGAGTATCCCATATGCATTCTAGTTTGCATATTTTGTCGCGTGATATGGCGCGTGGTACTGGGTAGTTATGAGTAAAACATTTGTTTTGCTGGTCCCAGTCCCTTACCAATGATAGACTGAATTTCCTGATGACGTAATGCGACAGTTCCTCCTCTTCAAGAGGGGTGACCAATAATGACCCATACTCCTCTGCGGTCGCACTTGGCCAGTACTTTAGACACTTCACCTGGAATAGTATGTTATAACTTAAAATGACATTTTACCAACAGCAAGAAAATATTCATAGTTCCGACTCCCCTTAGTTACCGTTGCTATGTCCCACAAGGTCAACAAATTATCTAGAATATCTCAGAATTTGACCTCTGATCGGGTAAAATAAGTCACAAATAAGTTGCTTCAATTCTTTCAAGTCCTGAGAAAATAAATGAAAATTGCTTCGTAATCCTTGTAGTAATCTTTAAAACAGATACTGCGTAGTTGTTTCTGGGACAAGATTGAAATTTCACTGAGAAAACTGCTACAATGGTAATTGGTTAGCTGTGAATTCATTATCTTGCCATTCAACGTGTGTAGTACCAGACATGCGCAGTAACAGACCAGAAACTCAAGAGCTCTTGAGAATCTATTCCCATGACAACACAAATAGTGAAATGATTACCTTGCCACGCTCAATGATGTTGGTAACCATGACAATGGTGGTGCAATGATGTTCCCAGACCATTCTCCAGAAATCATTGAACGTATTGGACACGGGGCCTGTAGAAAACAGACAGATTTCTTAATTCAAATGTACTTGGATGATTGACTATGGAGATCAGTGTTTTCCTTTCACTGAAGGTTTGGTAATAAACTACATAGACAATACGGCGGCCATCTTGCCAGGGGGAAAAGCAAAACAAAGATGACGGGAAATATATAGAGTTTCGTGTGCTTGTCTCTCTTTTATGGGTATAAAGGTGATCGATGTGCCATCTCAATTCATATTGTGTTGTATTCTCTTGTGGTGAGCTGTTCATATCAATCGACGTCATTACCGCAACAAAAATTTATTATCCCCCTGGACACCCCATAATGCATTACGATCCAAGATTGCCGCCGTATCGTCGAAGTAGTTTATTGAATTCATGGCTTATATTCATCCCATTGGTATCATTCAATAGACCCCTTGCAGCACGTCGGAATGCAGTTCAATTTGGAGGACAAAACAAAATAATTTCAATCTTATGAGAATTGGAAACAAATTGTTATGTCCTCCAAATTGAGCTGCATTCCGACGTGCTGCAAGAGGTCTATAAAGGTAGAGCTGACCTGCCCTTAAATCTCTTTTGGAGATCTACTACTCTACTATTTTTTTAGTACTTTAAAACATGGGTAATATTCAAAATCAAGAACTCCACAAGAACCAAAATGATAGCCTAATGCGCCTCCTGATGTCGAGAGCTTGATTGGGAGAGCTGCTTTATGAGATCAAACAGCAAAATAACGGTTATCCCTAATACTTTTCTTGCGTTTTCTTTCCAACTCCCGCTTTATAACTTCATTCAGCACGGTAGCGCGTTTTCTATTTCTTTGATAATATACAAGGGAATGGTACCTTGAGTAGCGATGCTCTTCTTCCGACAGTTATAACCCTGCGAAACAAAAAAATGTGAAATTATCTTTAAATGGGTTCAAATGATGCTGTAGGATGTGTCTTTAACAATCGTTGGGCAACGGGGATGCGATGAACATCTTTCTTACTGTACCTTTACCGTAACACTGAAATGGCTTCCCATAAGAATGATAATCGTAGAGTGTTAAACGTACGGCACWGACTTAAAGCACACACACGGTACGACATGCCGTAACACTCAAATGGCTTCCCATTGTCTTCCAGTGATTCATCCAATCACAACGCGTATTTAAAGCTAAGGTAAGATACGGTACTGCTACAATATGGCTCCGAATTTGCCGTATCGTTTCCAACGAAAACCGCTCTTTATAAATATACACATGCATCAATAAGATGATACTTACATCGATAAAGTTAGCATTGATGTAGTCAGATGTAGGAACGCCATCAACTTCTGATAACACTACGCGAGAATGGTCATCTGGGAAATAAATATGGAGATTGGAATCAAGAGAAAACAAAGCCAATAGCGGATCACCTCACATTTCTAAAAATGGGCGTCTAGTGAATTGATAGACCTCGTTTATTTCATCGTTTATCCCATTTCAGACCACGTGTCATAATAATAAAAATAATAATAAACTTTACTACAGTCTCAAAGCTTCTAGCTTGGCACACGTGCCTTGTTAATCGGGGAGATCCGATTCTCTCGAGAATAAGAATCTTTGTTTGAGATGTATCTATATTCATGTGTCTTCTCATGCGCAATCGAGAGCAAGTGTTAAACGAAGAAATGATACTCTAGAGAAAGACACCTGGTCTGTAATTGCAGTATAGTCTAGACATTTTGGTCTGACCGGCATTTGGGGACTAATTCCCGGATCAAACTGCAAACGAATATCGAAAAATAAAATAAAAGTTACAGATGAAATGCAGTACTTACAAGCCGCGATATTCTGATATCTGTTCTTAAGTTTGTTATCTTCTTTGTGGCTGTGTTCTGATGACTGTATAGCAGGACGTATAGACTACAAAGCAAAATGATACACCTAGTTGTTACTTTCACACTATTTTTGGTGCGCGCACACTCTGAATCAATTCTCATAGCAAGCGCACGATCGTGCTTCTCTGCACACTTCTTCCCTGCTTGCGTCACTTCTTGCAAGCCTTATTGCTGATTGCAAAGTACCTGTTATGAATCTCGCGTTCTGATTGGTTGGGAGCGCGTGCTTTATAGAGCAGTTTTCGTATGACTGTGAAAAGCTCACGGCACGAACACGGCAACGGCAAAGACCCAGCCAATCAAAATTCTAAAAAACATCACAGTCGCGGCAAGACACGAACTCTTCATCCAATCAAATGCACGAAAAACGTCACGAACACGACGCGGACACGGTCACGACAAGGACATGGCACTACTAGACCAATCACATTGAGAAAGAGAAAAGAAAGCCTAAAAAATTCAAGGAAAAATCACGGTTGCGGCATGGCACTGAACTTTTCACAGTGATACGAAATCTGCACTATGAGAGAACACAGCACATGCGTGCTTCTCCTAACACTTCACTCGTGTTCTGCCAATTCCCTGCTTTATAACTACACACAGCACACGCGCACACTGTTTTATTTGCTAAATAAATCATCCTTTCTTATTACCTCGAATTCTTCTCGGAACAATTTGTTGTTATTCTTGTGATAGAGCTTGCAGTAGTCAGCCAGCCTGTTGATCGGGATTGGCTTCAAGGTAATGAAGCCACCGGGACCCATTACCTCTGTAAACAAAAACAAACAAAGAATATTACTCACACATCGAATAGACCCCTTGCATGTGACGTCAAAGGAGCCCAATTTTGGAGGACAAAACTAAAGAATTTCAATCGACGCGTGGTCTGAAATGGGGGAAATTAAATGGGTTTGTAAATCAGACGACACGATACAATTAGCCCATTAACGACATTCTTTAATGGACCGCAATGAAAGGAGTACATGCTGAGACAATTATCATAATTGCAAATCAATAGCATCATGAATATTCATTATATTTAAAGCGTTCAATATATCTTGGAACTTTAAAGATTCCGAAAGACTTAAGAAACATCTGCTGATAAAAAGAAAATAAACTCATTCTTCTATTATTATTATTTTTTTCTTTTCTCTTCTTTATTCCTTCCTTCCTTTGTTTCTTTATTCCTTCCTTTCCCTTATCTTTATCTTTTTTTCTTCTCTTAAAGCCCTTCCCWTTTTCCTTTCTCTCAATTCCTAAACTATTTTCAAATTTTTATTCCTTGTAAAAAAAATTTCGTGTTCAGTTTCAAAATAACCAAGTTTCACTCGACTCACTTGATATTTTTCTCTTACTCTCTCAAGATTCACTCATGCAAGTCATGCATTTCTCAAAATAAAAAAAACTCGCTTTCCCTTTAATCCTCGTTCTATTTATCTCTTATCTCCTTTCCGTTAATTCCAACGTTATCAATTATTAAAGCTTTTAGTAAACATCGCCTAAATACTTTTTATCTAAATTAAAAAGAAAAGAAAACATCACGGAAAAAATAGTAGCTCTACGAAAAACCGTTATCCACCACACACTGTGGAACGTGAGCGAGTTAGTCCCCGACGACGAACTTAAATAATTCGCATATTTAACGAGATTTTAAAACGTTCATCAGACGTTTCGGTTTCCAGAAAATTATCGCTTAATTTTTTATATTTCTTAAAGACTTCTCAGTTAAGTCTTTTTTTWAAAGTCTAATTGAAATCTTTTATCTGATATAGACAAGATCTAGAAATATAAATGGAACCTATTTTTCTAGGAACTTGAGGGATACGAAAGATATTTTCTGTAATGATTTATCAGTCAAATTGATTACCAATTTCTTAGTATTTCCTAGATCAATATTTTAGGGAATTATAAAAGATATTTTCTACAAGAAAGTACTCATCAAACAAACTGATAACCAATTTTTAAATTTTACCAGATAATTTTTTTATAATTTCAACTCAGAACAAATTTTTACCAAAGGGGGAGGGGGGGAGCTGATTCAGATAGTAGACTGTAGGCTACTACCTAATGTATGAATTTCAATCTATGTATGTCTTTTGTATATTCTAGAGATTACTTAGATAATAATAGTACATGAAGTGCTAGCCTGACCCAATATATCCTAGTGGGGGGTCAATAAATAGCAAACTGATAAACACGAGAGCTTAATGGACATGAAGATATAATCAAAAACCACAAACAACAGCCCATTATCCTTAATCATCTGGCTAACTATTTTGTTATTTAGAAATATTTTTTTTTACCTTTATACTTTTTAGGGTTGGGGCTGATCCAATGCAATTTCAACACAGGGAGCCCAAATTTGAAAAACGAGTTCAATATTTTGACGCTATATCTTTTTCTTTTTTTTTTTTCACAGTCGTTTTTCTTTCGGATTTCGAAGATGAACCAAAAGACCAGACTATTTCACCTGCTTTTGGCTTGTCTTAAAGACCGACCAATTACAATCCAGCATTCGCCTGGCACGTGACCTGGTTCTATCCGCTGGCCACAAAGAACGCCGGCACAAGTGCCGAGACAAAAATGTATTCTCAGGTTTCATATAGATTACGTGCGCATGCTCAGATAAGAGTGGAAAATGTCAAAACTAAAACAGACTCGCCGTTCGGTCATTGCGTGTAGGTTAATCCGTTTGTTTCCTGTATTCTGTTTGTTTTTTCTGTCGTTCGATCGATCAATCGTTGTTCGGTCGATCCAACGGTCGGTCCAACGGTCGGTCGGCCAGTTCACTGTCGTATATCTTTCCGTCTGGTTTTATTCAAGGACCTTTTCACGAACGCGGAATCCATTTTTTTGTAACGACACGATTAATGATAAAAAACTTTAGCACATCCGCTCAACAATAAAAATAAATAAATAAATCTAAATATCATGAAAACAGCTTGACTAACTTGTCTTGTATTAAAGAAAATGTGGCTTAATCAATTAAACCACTATGTTTTGATAAGATTATCTCATTAATGAATGAACGAATGTAGTATAAATGTGCAAAGGCGGTGCCGACACTGACCATCAGTTGTAAATTAGTTCTAACTGGATCGATTTTCTTTGCTGCTTCGCGAACATTTTTCCTGGGCAGCAAATAGAATGTTACCAATTTGGTTTGGAAGTCTAATATAAAATTAATAGATTAGAATGATATTACATTCCAAATACGTGTTTTAAACACATAAAACAGCAGTGATCACGATTTCCTTTTTTTCGATGTGGCTTCAAAATGATTTCCCAAAACAAAAAAATATTTTTGACTCCTAATCAGTTTGGTTTTCCACTTTGCAGTAGGCTTCAATTCTATAGCAACATACCTTTACGAAATATCTTTTGCAATTAAGATTACAGCTTCGTTTTCGCGTTTTGTGCTTGATTAACTAACTCTTGAAGATATAAATCAATTTTCAAAAATGTCTAAATACCTCGTCTTCTGGTTTTCATGCTCCCAAGATTTTTGCKTCCAAAAACTCGCCAAAAGAAGAAGAACTGAAGCTTATTACCTTTAGCAGAGTTCAACTCGAAAAAGAACGAAAAAAACGTGTCGTCCTCGAGTAGTTTGTGAGCACAAAACCAGACGGAAACAGACTTAAAAGCGAACGTATGTTCCGGCAACGACCGCTATTTTACATAATGTCAATCACTCTAAGTCTTCAAAACTGAATCTATTTACTTCATTCATTCATTGATCAAAGCTTTTAGAAAGAAATCTTTAAATTTATGGCGTTGAAGAGGTTTACCACAGATAAGATGATTTACTCCGACTTTTTAAAGTTTATTTTTATTCAGTACAAAACAAGAGTTCAGGAAATGTTTTAAGTTTTATTATTAAAAGGTTATTAAGGTTTACATGTGCTACTTTAGTTATAAACATATTATGCTTGAAATGGCAGAAGACAAGTTTGGTTTATAATATACTTGGAGAAGCATAAGATGGAATATCGCGAGAAAATGAAAAAAAAAACACAGATGGAGTTAAAAATATAGCTCAAATTGAAATATAAATATTTAAATATTTATTACAATAGATGGTTATTACRTAACAAATTATGGCCGCCATCTTGGTTGATATAACAAAAGAAACCAATCCAAGATGGCGGCTAAAAAAATGAAATATTCCAAGATCCATCTTATACTCCTCAAAGCAAGTCAAATTAATTACAATTAGCTCTAATTTAAAGAGAATTATTTATCTGCGGTTTATATAGCTTTGAAATATTTTGAATTATCTAATTTGTTCGTCGATTATTTTTCATCTCGGATAAAAATATTCGAGCTCCTAGCGAAGTTTCAGTACCCCGCGATTTTCGACTGTCGACCAGAAAACTCGCGACTTTCTAACCAATGTTTAACGTGAAGAATACTGTCTATCCAATTTTAGTGGAAATGGTAAGTTGTTCATTTTAAGAAGCAAATATCAAAATCTGATTTCTTTTTGCATTCCAAAGTAAAACGAGAATTTTAAAGAAAAGTTTAATGCTACTGTGAATAGTCTCTTTCACAGTTCCCTGCGCCATCTTGAAACGTAGTCGTGGCTTTGCTTCGAAGCGAGACCTATGTTGAGCTTGAAATGATAGAGACCCTTTTTAATACTTTGGACAATTATTCACGTGTCTCTATCATTGCAAGATCACCATTCATCTCGCTTCGATGCAAAGGCACGGCTACCTTTTGAGATGGCGAAGGAAACTGTGAAGGGCGCTATTGTATTGGGTTCTCCACCTTCATTTCAAGAACTTTTCGAATTTAGTGCAATGCTCAGCATTTTACAAATATTACATTAATATAGCTTGAAGCTCTCCGCGGTTTAAAGCAAACATTTGATACTATAGAATAAATGCTATTGCTTGGTTTTCCATCAAGTCATTCGAAGCGAATTTGATCCACTTATTTTTTCTACAAATTTGGTGGAGAAGCTTCAAACTTCTTCAAGCAAGAAAATATAGAATATAGAAACACACTCCTGAAAATTAACTCAAATATTTCCAAGCTAATTATCAATCGATCCACAAGTGTGATGAAACAAGGCTTACTTGATGCCAAACTAGTTATCAATCGATCCACAAGTACGTGTGATGAAACAAGGCTTACTTGATGCCAAACTTAAATACACTTTTTACAAATAAATACGTTCGTAACTCAAAATGATCGCATTCACAATATTTACATTTGAATTGATTTTCATCAAGTTGTCAATTAAATCTGACACAATTTTAAATTCGTGATTCTTGTGCTTAAAAAGTACAGCGCTTTTCACAGAAAGCAAAACTTTATGAAATTTATATGTGTTCCATTTTATCGAATTTGAAGTCCTGCTACAAATGATTTTAGAATATTAAAGCTGGGCTTTAAAGCTTGTCTAAAGCAAATTTATCAATTCATTTAAACGTGTTTATGTTATTTATTATTTGGTGAATTATAGGTACAACTATTTCGTTCCTCTTCATAAACAGATCACGTGGTATTAGGAAGCTATTTTTTACGTCTTACGTCATCCAATATGGCGGCAATATTTCTTGCCATATTTTTCACTCTTCCAAATATTAATCATTTCAAAAATTGAGCTCCAAAACTATAACTTAATGTATTCTTTAAACTAAATATTATTACATTACTTTCTACCTGCCAATTAAACTTTATTCATTTCGGGATGCCGTTATTGTTAAAGCAAAGATGGCGGCTAGTAACACGTGACCTGCCAGCGTTGCAAATCAATCACCGGTTAATTAGTTAAATTTTCGTCTCTTTTTGTGGATCATTTAAGTTTTTGTGCCAGTGTAAATTACGTCATAGTAGTTCATATTAAATTATAGTGTGCGTGACGCCGCCACTGAAGTGGTTAATGATTTGATAGACTAGCGTGTTTGATTGACAGCATTAAGTATTATGTTTTATCGCTGAAATGGTTGCCATGGAGCATGCTCAAAAATCAGTCCTCAATTATCGGGTTTTTTCCAGAAAGAATTTGAGAAATATTAGAGCTAGCATGAGTCTCTAAAACACGCTCCTGCATGTATACTAAATCAAGAATCTTAGATTCTTGTGATCCTTTGAGAATCAAATCGAATCCTGTATATTTGCGGTACAAAAACCGTTACTATAGCAACTTGCCGCTGACCATCAAATGTTTCAGCGGAAAACATCAATCGCGAAAACTCTATCAATAAATAATAAATGTATCGCTTTCATTAAATATTAATATTATTAATTTATACATAAACTAGACCCAAGCCTCCGAACCTTCTGAGCCTCTTCTTGTTCCGTGTAAGAACTTGACGCCAGGCATGTTGTCCAAGGATTCTTTTTCTCCTATACCGCTGTCGTTCGAGTTGGCCACGCCGTATCTGTTGCCTTTCAATTCGGTTGAGTCTCTTTTTCTTCGTCGATTCCTGCGACGCAAAAAACAACATAAAAAAACAATTTAACATAATTTTACTACCATATAACTCGTTTCTTATTTCACCAGATTCAGGCTAAAGGTGATTGGTCAACATGGATTCGAGCTAGACGGTGATTGGTCAATACAGATTCAGGTAAGACGGTGATTGGTCAATGCAGAATTGTATAATAACACCGTTGACACGGTAAATTATGGCTCAAATCTTCTGTACGAAACTTAAGGCAAGTTGTAATTCATTTTAAATATATTACTCACTATTGTAAGAATCCAACCATATCTTTCGAGAAAGAATCTTTTAAACTGTTTCTGCCTTCAATTTTTTCGTAATCCAGGCCTCTCTGGCCATTCCTTAACGGTAAGAGAGGGATTAGAAATAGTTCGAGAAGAACCAGCCAATGATTGGTCACGTTTTATACGATTTCACATGACGTAAAAATTGTCTTGACCAATCACCGTCTAGCTCGACCTAGTTAACCTATCACCATCTAACYTGAATCTGTATCGACCAATCATCGTCTAACCTGGATCTGTATTGACCAATCACCGTCTTACATATAAGCATTCCCATCTACTCACCTTATAATTAAAACAGCTATGATAACAACGAACGCAAATAAGATAATCCCAGCAAAGACGCCTCCAAATAAGGAACCAGAGTCTACTTCTTTTGTTCGACGTGCCACATCTGAACCTGAAATGAACACACGATCTAGTTGACCAGCGGTTATCGATCTCAAGTGGAACATATAGAAATAAAGGTGCAATAATATTTGCTTTCGTAACGTATCCTAAAGTCTGTTTTTTCATTTATAATATCCCTTAGAAATCCGTCACTAATTGTTATATAAAATCAAAATAAAGTGTCGAGAAAAACAACACAAACAAACTACACATTAGTCTCCTTTGCCTTTGCATGGAGGCGAGACGAACAATGATAGACACGTGAATGATTGATGAAGGAGTTAGAAAAAGTTATTGCAAGCTCACCGTTCGTCTCGCTTCGATGCAAAGGCACGGCTACCTTTCAAAGTGGCGCAGAGAACTGTGAAGGGGACTTTTCCACTGATCAAAAATATCTTTTGGTAATAATTTAAATATTTTTTAGATAATTTAAGTCAGTAAGATTTAATTTTTTTAAATCCACATTTTTCAAAATTTTTTTCGCTCTAAGCCAATCAAAAACCCTTTGATGTGTATTATCCAATCACATTGCTTGAATTCCAAGGAAGCCATATCAATGTTGAAATGCACGCTTGCCAAACATTTTGCTGCAATTACCGAATTTAATAATTAAGAAAAATAAGACCAATTTTCTTTAATGGTTATTCAAAATTTACCCCAGGCATTTATAGCAACAATAATGCTGAGAAAATAAATATTAATGTTAATTTTAGCTTTTTAAAATTTTTTAGAATTGAAAATAATTGACCCCTTATAGATTAAGATTATTAAATATTAATGATTATTATTATCATCATGCACAAATAGGTTATAAATGAATAATGCACGCTCTTCAAATCCCTCTGAACAAAACACACCTCAAAACAAATAAAAAATTTGAGATGTTAAATTTTAGTAACTTTTCATTTTATCCTAGTAGTGTTTTAGTAGCTTCAGATATATAATGTTTAATGTCAGCTGTAGGAGTTGAAAATTTAAGCCACACAGTAGAGCAGGTTAATTACAGTTGAGGCTGGCGCCCTCTCTATTGCTTACTCTCAGTTACGTGACTTTTTTGGAGTCGAATAGCGAGGGGAGGAAGCCAACCAGCGACTGTTAAGTACGAATTCATGGGATTTTTTATAGTATTTTCATTGAAATAATGAATGACGAAAACGATGAGGGAAAATGAAAAATAAGAATGAAAAAAATGAAGTAATGAAATGACTTGTGAATGCGAATTTCCATGAAATGATTGTCATTAGCAGCACGACGAGTGGTGAAAACGCACTGCGCATGCTTGGAAAATTGGCGGGAAATTCGTAGACGCGTTGTATTTACAAATAAAAGCATTGAAGATTTACCGGTGTTCGAATCTCTCTTGTATTTTCATTTGACCAGGCAAAGAACAAATAAAATCACCAACTTTCCACGAACGGCCTTAAATTATCTATTTATTTATTTATTTGTATCTATTAAATTAAAGATTTATCGAACGCCGCGGGTAAATTTTCAATGGTTTTATTTGTAAATACGACGCGTCTACAAATTTCCCGTCCATTTTCCGAGCATGAGAAGTGCGTCTTTCACCCGTGTCGGACACGACACACTTAGTAAATGTTTCGGCATACCAAAACATGCAATATTGGAGTCATTCCACGCATGMACGTCAAAACTTTGAGTGAGTTGTTTTTCAGAAGTTTAGTGTTTTTGGAATCATTTAACATGCCAAAAACTTTCCATTACAAGGAATTACTTCAATTGCCAGTCCTTTATATACAGATTTATCTTTCTAACTTTCCGAGACAAGGCTTATCTAGCTTTACGTTTTTAAATGTTCTGGGCCATATTTGTCAAGACATTTTCAGCTTTGTATTTTTATAGCATTGCTCAAGCTCTATTTATCATTTTTTTGTGATGCTTTTACGAGAGCTCGCTGGAAAAAAACCCAATAATACGAAATAATAATACGAAAGTGAAATGACCCAGGTTTTGGTGGACGTCACTCAAAAGGTTTCCATGACATGTGTGAATGTGGGCTGTCATGGCGACGCGCCTTGATTGACGTCCACCAAAACCATGAACTCGGCCAAAAAAAAAATCTTAAAATACCGCATGTTATCATCGAGCTTCCGAGATTAATCCCCGAGTGAAATTCGTAAAAAGTTTTGAGCGTGTTTGTTCGTTAAGAGGGAAATAACTGCATGCTATGAGTAGTTCACACTAACAAACAGTACAACAGCAGTTGTTACTACCCAATGGAGTAGTAAGCCATGACTCTTTCGATGTATCCAGAGCCTCGCTGAAGTAGTCTTTCGGCGTGCTGACCGTTTGAGTTGTAGGAGAGGTTGTAGTAGTTGTTTTTGGTGTAGTAGCAGTCGAGCTGGTAGAGTTATTCATGCTTTTATTAGTACCTAGTCATGCGGAAGTTATTCTGGTTAGTTGTAGTTTTATAGCCATACACAGCTGAATTGGTTAGAATTTTTTTTTTTCAAGTTCAGAGATAAATAGAGTAACATGCATTGAGTTGAAATCGTAGGTTTATGAGATGGTTATGGTATTTTGAATTAAAAGGAGTTAATTTGAGGTTGAAATGAAATAGTGAAACCAGTAGATATGAAATGATGATGAATGACTCACCATTTTAATTCGTTTAGCTCGTAAGAGATTTGGGAAGGTTTGGAGCTGATTACTTTACAGTTAAATCTGATTTGTTTTTCTCTTCTTCTCTCCTCTCTATTTCTTCCTTCCTTCCCTTCTCACGGAAAAGAAGTAATAACGGTTGATTCGTGAAACCTTCGGCAGTGTCTTCGGTTTTCACCGAAACCGAAACCTCAAACGGAAAATGCGCAAACTTGATTGCTTCATATTTCAGAAAATTTTCAACAAGTATACAAAAAATTAAAATATTTAAAGGGTTAGATGTCTTCAAATGTTACTAAGTATTCTTAATATCAGGTTTTAATCAAAAAAATAAAATTATTCGTTAAAGGCTTCGCAAATTTTCTAAGGAATTATTAGTCAAATAAGTTTTTATAGTTTTGTCGCGAATTAATTTTTAATTTTTTCATGTCTGAAACACTTCCACACTCCCAAACATCCTATTTTCTTATGATTCACCCATCGACTCTTCCTTCCCGTCCCCACTCTGTTCTCCTTTTGATACACCTACTTTTCAATCCCGTACTGACGAAGACCGGGGCACAGAAAGGACCTGGATACAACGTAAAGGCTCTTATCTGTAAATGAAAAAGAAGAATATGTTACCTGAGTCTTGGTTAAATAATACTATTGTAAAGCTTAATTTGATATATATATATGTATATATGTATATTGGTAATAAAGATATAGATGATAAGTGAATAGGAAATCCATTTGATTTGAAGGAAAGCAATTGTAGAAAATATTCTTGCCTTTCATCGGAATCAACTCTGCTCTCATAGATCTATATTTATTGGGTCCTTCATGAAACTCGCATTCACATACATACGTCTATTTCACTCACTCACGCTCTACGATTACAATCCAACATTCAAGTTCTACCATTGAACTTCACGCACGAGTGCGTTTGACCTATGCACAGGCAGCCCAAACAAGGTTCCTGTGTATGGTTTATAAGGGAATGTATGGGAGTTATGATAAAGTTACGAAAATAAAATGTTTCACTCAACAGTTTGCCTCAAAACCTGCTGCAGTTGTTGCTTTTACTATGTTCAGTCGTCTGGCGAAGTTTCAGCGCGATTTGAGGCCGTTTAGTGGGTTTTTTCAAAATCCGCTCTTCTCTACCTAAATAATGGGAATGCAGTATGTAACGTAGTCTCCCCCACAGCCGCTTTCATTGTGAAAGCGTTGCGTGACGACACTGAAAGCGGCTGTGGGGAGACTATATGTGACGTGACCCGCTCACGCTTTACAACGGCTGTTTAACACCATCGATCACACGCTGTAGAAGAAATCAAATATTCGACTTCAAGCCAGGATTTTTTGGACATATTTGGCGTGGTGGCATTCAGAATACATGTTATAATAGAGAAATTATCGTTCCTTTGAGATGTTGCATTTTTATTGCGGTTCAAGGAGAGAGAGAGAGATTTTTTTTGGATTTTCTAGCGTGATGTAGTCGATATCGGGTGCTAAGTCTTCAGCCTTGCCAATGTTGAATTTTGTCCAGACACGGAAAGCTATTAACGAATGTTAAATCGTGGAACTCGAATGTTGGACGAGATTACAGCTAAGTTGAAATCGAAATCTTCAATGTCGGAAAAGCAACTAACAATATTGCATTGCAAGTGAAACACTGAATTCTTTATTAGAATGTCGAAAACCTGAGGTTGAATTTTGTCGGGAATATAACGCCATAGCGTACAGCAATAGGGTTTTATAGTAAACACAACAGGGACTTGGACAATTTCTTTCGCGACATAATTTCAACTGACGGCAGATTTGAATGTGGTCTGTAGACTATCCACAGCCATGATGTTGAACACAGGCCTACCCCCAGGGGTGTGTGAAAAAAACTAGATATATTGCAGCTGGAAATGTCTTGTTGAACATTATTCCCCTATCGGATACGGTAAAGAAAATTCAGTTTTGCATCCTCTTTCATCCTGCACGTGAGCAGAAAACTATCCGCATAAGAATGTGTTATGTGTTAAGAATGGAATCGAAGCTACATAGAAAGATCAAGTAAACAGGAAATCCATTTGATTTGAAGGAAAGCAATAGGGTTTTGTTTACAAGAAAAGTGTTAAGAACGGAATCGAAGCTTCTTAGAAATTTTGACAAAACCTTGACAAATGCGAGAAAAACGTCATGTTATCTAAATCTAAATCTTTTATCTGCAAAGTTTGCCCACATTACAGATATAAAATRATATGAATTACGAAAAAATTATTTAAAAAGACTAAAAGATAATAATTATCGAATAACCATAAAACAATCAATTCGCAAAACTTTCCTTTCCAACAACAAGGAAAAACGACAGAACTTCAAGAATGACAAGAGGGACAAAAATAGAGCAATCAAACTTACCCGAATTCTGTACGGTGTATATGGCCGTAGTCCAGATATCTGATACTTCAACGACGGGTTATTTAGATCCTTCTGTATGTTTAAAGTATAGTTAACACCGCTTGAGTTCGAATACACGATAGAGTATTGCCGTATGCGACCGTTTGGAAAGGCAGGTCGATCCCAAGATACGCTCAGGGTTCGTAGTCCCACTGCATATGCTTCGACGTTTTTAGGTGCACTTGGAGCTAAGAATGAAAGCAAAACATTTAAAATCCTATCAAAAATGATCCAATTGAGTTACCTTTACGCGTCAGAAAGCAGAAGCGAAATTTTTCACTTGAATCTGATACCATGGTGATTCGAAAGACCTCCAATGTCCACTGGAGCAATGTCGAAAATAGTCAAGGAATATAGATTTTTAATAAATGAAAGATTATGTAAGATTGAATAAGAACTTTAACAGGTTGAAAATGGTTTTGGAAATACGTATGTTATTAGCCAATCCAGAGTTGAAATTAATTCTGTGCAATTTCCGGGTCAGACAATGAATTTAACTTGAATCCCATAACAAACAAAAAAATCATTTTTATACGAGTTTTATAATTTGCTTCCTATATTTTCACGCGATTTAACATTTCAAATGTCCTCAATTTTAAATTCCAAGAAATACCCTCTTGTATACGTCATCTCTAGTCAATCAGCGCGTGCATTTAAGATGAGCTATGGGACTTTAGTATATACCAACTAATGTACTTCCTAAGAACGCGCGCGCTCATTGGTTAATTGGAAGTGAATATTGTACGATATTCACCTCTGAATCTCGGAATATTGAGTCGGCAACAAAATGGCATCTGTGAATTTGTCACGCAAACTAAAAGTTTCTCAGGCTCAGTGAATATGGAGAATATTTACCTCGCCGCTCGAAGACTCGCGTCTCGGTAAATACCCGATATTCACTTCGCCTTCGGCGAATAATTGCTAATTATACAAACTCAGGGCCGACATTCAACAACATTAAATTCTTGAGCATTTAATATTACCTCCTTCAGGCATTGAGACCACTCTTCCTTCACTAAACGGTCCCCACAGTACACCATTCTTCTCATTTCCAGTCCCTTCACTTGCACTCAGGGTGTACGTAGCGAATGGGCGCAGTCCGCTGACCAGTAATTGTCGAAAAGGCTGCAGGCTCAATACCTCGACTGTGACGGGTTTCAAAGTGACTTCACTTTCTCGACGGTTTCGCTTGACTCTTTTGGACGATAAGACAGCTGGGACTTCCAAGATCTCTTTATGGAACTTACCGTTTTCTCTTAGTTTCCAATACAACTGGACGCGGAATTTGGTAATTTTTCCGTTAAGAAATCGTGGCCGCCGCCATTTTAACTGTACAGAGAACTCCGAGGTATTGACCGACAAATCCTCAGGGGAGGAGGGTGCTGTAAATAAATATTCATTAATAGTTAATATTAATAATTAGTATTATGATTATTGTGGTACTGACCGACAATTTCTTTTTTTTTTCTGAGGGGAGGCCGAGGGTGCTGTCAATATATATTTATTAATCATTAATATTATAATTATAATTTAAGTATAATTTTAGACTTGAATATTGAGTTGTACCGTGTGCTGTGATTGGTCGAACAACCAGTGATTCTGAGACGTTAATAACGAAAGGGAAGAAAAAGGGGATGAATGAAATTGAAAGGAAATGAAAATGAAAAAAAAAATGAAGCTTACCAGCCATCTCCGTGACGACTATCGTGGTATCACTCTTCGAGAATCCTGCCTTGTTCGATGCAATAACCTGAATGGAATAGTTCGTAAAAGCTTGCAATCGACCAATTACTATCGAAGTAAAATTATGAGCTACGGATACTCGAGGCATCTTGTCACCAAGGTCGTGACATTCTTGAATCCTGCAGTACTTAACCGTATAACTATCCAGCTTCTCTGCGTTTTTCTTCTCGGGTTCTTTCCATTTGACCATGATGGCTGAATTGTTGACTGGAAAACCTTCCACTTCTCTAGGCTTGGTTGGAGCTGATGACGAGAGAAATAGGATAGGTCACGTGATTATTCGTATCTGTTTTGTCTGCGTTTGTGATCGTTTCAGTGTGTGGACGGGCGAGAACGCGATGCGTAAGGCCAACGTTGACGCAAAGCTTTCGACTCGTCTTCGGATAGACGAAGACGGAGCGTGTTGAAAAACCCACATGGAAAGCATGGTTCCCGTAGCGGTGATAGCGTCGGTTTTCACCAACGCAACCAGGGTTCTAGTCCATCCGCGCTCGATGTCGTATTTGTTGGCTCTCTCCTGTGCTTCGAAGGTTTTTCTCCGGGTTCTCCGGTTTTCCTCCCTCCGTAAAAATCAGCTCCTAAATTCTAATTTGATCTAGAAAGGGCCTGGATGAAAATTACTCAGTGTACATCTAGTTACTCTATCAAATAGATCTCCTCGGCTCAGACGTAATGTTTTCCCATTTCCCAGAGAGCACATGACGGGCAGTGTTTGCCCGTCATTGTAGGCTGGTAATGAGATTCATAAGATTCATTCAGCTGATAGATACCAATCAATAGAATACTCTCTGGTTGATAGCACATGACGGGCAGTGTTTGCCTGTCATTGTGAGCTGGTAATGAGAGATTCATCGGGGTACTGAACAAACCAAGAAATAGCAACATCACAGATACGCTTTGATCAGTGTCTACTAACTAATGCTACTCTGAGCTAGTCTATTTCTTTCATGGGTCAAGTGAGTTGTATTGAGCTATCCAATACAATTCCTCACAGACTATAATAGTAAATCATTTTGACATATTGTCAAAATGTATGGTATATATGATAATGTAACATGACCACGTGTGCAATGCCACATGGACTGTATTGACCGATAGTCCCTCTTTACCTTGGGCGTAATGTTTTCTTATTTCAGACGTGTCATTCTCTTGAGAATAAGTTATTTGAGTTGCATCCATAGTCACGAGTTTTCTCATGCGCAACCGTTAAACAAAGAAATGATACTCTAGGGAATGACACGCTGTCTGAAATAGGAAAAAATTGCGCGCCCGAGCCGAGGAGGTCTATTGAGTAGTTTATTATTATTTATTTATAATTATTATTATCAATGTGGACGTAGCCTCAGCTTCTTCATTTCTTTACCTGATTCAAGTGTTGTACCCGTAATGTACGAAGCATCGCTTGTAAAATACTGATTCGACGCTAACACTCGGATTTCATAAGATGTGTAGGGTTCAAGGTCTTTTAGTTCATATTCTGTTTCGTACGCTTGTAGAGATGTGCTTTTCCACTTCTTCTGTTCATCTCCAACCTTACGATACTGAACCGTAAAGTGCGTTATGTCGCTTTGACCGCTGTCCAGTACTGTCCACCCAAATCGCAGGCTCCTTATCATGCTTACGGTAATTTTGAGAGAAACTGGGCCGGGTTTTCCTGCGACAAAAAGAAGTGTTTTAGAATGAGTAATTGCAGCAGATGCTTAAAGTTTTGTTAGCACATGACGGGCAGTGTTTGCCTGTCATGGAAGGCTGGTAATGAGATTCATGAGATTCATTCACAACCATTAAACAAAGAGATGATACTCTAGGGAATGACACGTTGTCTGAAATGTGACAATATTACGCCCAAGGTAAAAGGAAGTTTATAGTAATATATTCTCTCTACTTCATTGCTATGATAATGACTTCGAATGATAATACAATTGCAACCACAGGAACCCCACTCCTGCACCACTGACCGTATAACAGCGCTGTATATAAATAATAAACCTTTGATGAGCATAAACAATCTTACCAACTTTAATCAATGTAATGGTGTGGGAATCCCTTCCCCGTGGGTTCTTTGCTTCGCAGGTATAGTCCCCAAACGCACTATCATCCGTGGGAGTAATATCAAGGACTCCGGTTACTTCCGATACTGCAACCACACCACTCGCGTTCGTCCAGGTATACTTAGGCTCTGGATTGCTGTCTGCGTAGCAAATTAGCTTAGCTGTGTATCCGACCCATGCTGCTACTTTCTGACTGGAAATGGTCCTGTTGATGATTGGTGGATCTGGACATATGGTAATCAAAAGAATTAGTGAGTTTACCGAAAGTACATTTCTTCAAAATAGCCAATGCAATCGCTCGCTCTAAATAGCACAACTTGCCGTCGCGAAAACATAAGATTTTGGTGGAAGTCAATCAAAGTCTTTCAATATGACATAACTTTCAATGGCACGTGCATATTTCTTTTCCGAGGTTGAGGCAAAAACTTGTAGGGCTCTTTTTGTGGATGAAATATGTCCCCTAAAATAAGCCCACAATGCACTGCACTGCCAACTCGTACCAGGTTTCCCCCAACTTCGGATAGACTAAAATAATGTCATGAAAACGCCTTCAGTTGACTGACGTCGATCAAAACTTTCTTCGTCGCGCGCTACTGAGAAAAATAGACCTAAGTATCCCGAATTCGCTTGACTGGTCACAAAACAATGGTTTCAAGTCGAGGTTGAACTTGATGAATAAAAGAATCAAGTCCAGTCTCAACTTCAAACCATTGTTTCGTGGTCAGTCAAGCGAATTCGGGATAGGGGTATTGATTACTCATGCGAGAAATGAAAAAAATGGAGAACGGAAAACAATAAGCTGAAAATACTTACACAGAACATTGATATTGAACACAACGACGGCAGGTATTCCAAATTTGTTATCAGCCCTGCACTGATATTTGCCCTGATCTTGACGCGTGACGCTAGAGATCTGGAACGAGTCACCAGTAGCAAGAACCTTGTTGCCTGTCAGTTTGATCCACGTGATCACGGGGTTAGGATACCCATCTGCCAAACACCGAAAACCAACGAAGCTCTTTTCATTGACTGTGGCGTCACGAGGAGGTCGAATTATTTTTGGCGCATCTAAAAATAGATTTGAAACAAAAAATAAATACAAGGAAATGGAAGACTTTAATGGCCCGGCCCTTCTAAACCCCTCATAATTTCCTAAAATAAGAAATGACGCGAGCTATATATACATATATATATATATATACACACAAAGGTATCAGAAATCTCTTCTTTGAATCAAACTTTGAAGTCAACCACAGCGCATAAAATATTTATAAGCCCTACTTAAAACGCACTTGGAATACCGTGTATTTTTTGTTAAGCGTATCAACTATAAATTCCGAAGTCTCAACCAAAGCGCACTAAGTAATTAAGCTGCACTTGAAACCCTTCGAGCTCTTGAAGCAGAGCATCCCCCTCCCTATAGCCTCCCCTAGACAACTACTTACATCGGACGTAAAGAACAACTTCCTCTCGTGGCCCTTCTCCAAGATTATTATGAGGGACACAGATATATGTTCCATGCCATGTAGAGTCTAAAATACCAAGGTTAGAGATCTTCCCGCTTCGTTCTGCGTCGCGGTAGTCTAACTTCCGTTCTTTCTTGGAGCCCGTCCTGATGTAGAACTTGTATTCTGGTCTGGGGTATCCTCTTGCCTTGCACATGAAGTTCACAGAGCTGCCTGCACTTACAGTGTTTGCGCTGGCATCTGTTCTGAATGTGGTTCCCCTGGGTTTGTCTGAGAGGTTCAAAGTCATGAGAAGATTATTTAAGACACCACCAAGACATAATTAATCGTATGGTCTTGAAGTGATTCATAGTTAGACGACTTTGAAACTATTGCCTGTTGTTTAGAATTGTTTTATTTGATACTATTAGACTTTGGGTTTGTCTCTTCATTTCTTTGAGGGGTTTCCTCCCCCCGCAAAACCCAAGACACAAGATTATAGTTCAGTCCAGCGGCTGTTTCAGGGTTCGATCTGTGAGTTAGCCATGCCCTGACTTAGATCAGCCCAGCGGCTGTTTCAGGGTTCGATCTGTGAGTTAGTCATGCCCTGACTTAGATCAGCCCAGCGATTGTTTCAGGGTTCGATCGGCTGTGAGTAAGCCATGCTCTGAGTATGAACAGCCCAAAGGTTGTTTCAGGGTTCGATCTGTGAGTTAGTCATGCCCTGACTTAGATCAGCCCAGCGATTGTTTCAGGGTTCGATCGGCTGTGAGTAAGCCATGCTCTGAGTATGAACAGCCCAAAGGTTGTTTCAGGGTTTGATCTGTGAATTAGCCATGGCCTGACTTAGATCAGCCCAGAGGTTGTTTCAGGGTTCCATTTGTGAGTTAGTCATGCCATGACGTAGATCAGCCCAGAGGTTGTTTCAGGGTTCCATCTGTGAGTTAGTCATGCCATGACTTAGATCAGTCCAGAGGTCGTTTCAGGGTTAAATCTGTGAGATAGCCATGCCTTGAATTAAATCAGCCTAGAGGTTGTTTCAGGGTTTAATCTGTGACTTAGCCACATAGGATGTTACATAGCCTCCTTTGCAGCCGTTCTTAGGGTCGTCACGTGACGACCCTAAGAACGGCTGCAAAGGAGGCTAGATTTTTAAGGCGGGGTTGTTTTATTTTTAGACGGCTTTGGGCTAAATAAAATCACTTAATAATTCTCAGGTACGTCTCTGACATTTCCCTTCCTAGCTTTTAGCAATTAGAAAAAATTGCACAAAAACTGTACGTGACGCTTACTTTGTTTTCATTCTACACTACGCTAGTGTGTATCTTTCAAATGGTTTCATTCAACGTGGAAATTCGACGCATAACGTAAATATTCAGTAATCCTAAGGCTGGGGTCAACTACTGTTTTATCGAACTTTGGGACGACACCCAGGACGAAAGAGTTCGACACTCGAATACCCAGTAATCCTACGTTAAGTAGGTAGAAAACCTGAAATCCTAGTTTAGCTTTCATTTAAGACTCTAAACATCGCGAGGATCACTTTAAATGTCATTTAATCTTTCGATTTATAAAACGACCTTTTAGTTAATCTTGTAAGCAAACAGACCGTTCGGAAGTGGTCGAGAGGCGTCAAAACAGGAACTGCTAATCTCAGTTAAGCTGAAATCAAAACTAAATCATAATGTACAAAATTGTAAATACTTACAAAATACAGTGATGTTTGTTACAGATTCATCGATTCCACCTCTATTCTGAGCCACGCATTTATACGTTGCCATATCTGTATCTACTACGGGGTTGAATTCAATTTCAACTTTTTTAAGACCATTCTTCAGGAGTTTGCCATCCTTTAACCATGATACACTCGGTTTTGGAATACCATCTGCTTCGCATACAATTCTTTGCTTTTGTCCCTCTTTGTACTGTAGCAATGCCAGGGGGCTATTTGTGATTTTCGCTGGATCTGAAAAGAAAATTTAGTGAAGAATTCTCTTACATATTTGCAAGCTTTTACCTTTTCCCGCCTTTTTTAAATTCATGCAAACGCGTCAGTCTTGTGAGACACTGATCAAACAAAATTAATACATTTGACGATAGTTTTACGCAAGTTTTAACAGCTTTTTTTCAGTAATTCGGAAGAATTTTTACTCTTCCTAGGATTTACAATAATTCGACCTAAATGTTTCCCGCCATTTTTCCAGAATTATCAACACGCGTCCAATAATAAACCAATGAGAGAACAGAATGAGATCATGTGACTCTCGTAAATTTTTCTCATCACAACTTTTTTGCTTGAATGAAACTTTCTTCTTTTCAAGATTAAAGCATTTGAGGAAAGAATCTTTTTCTTTCTACAAATTCATCAAATTTACGACCTAAAAGCTTCAGGTAAATACTTCTACTTTTATTATTTAGTATTATTTTATTATTTCTTTATTTATYTTAGTATTATCTATACTCCTTAAAAAATGCATTAACTTTTTCTTTGCGATAAAATTTGTTAAAGCTTTTGACACTAAAAATATCATGTACTAATACACGTTTTTCTGTTGTTTATAAATAATAATTACGATAGAATTACAATCTTTAGGCGTTTTTTTTGTTATGGTACATTTACAGTTCATTGACCGAAAACAATTACTTTTTAATATGTTTTCAAATAACGGCTTGAGACTTGGCAAGGTACTAGTCTGAGAGTCTCTATTTGGTTGTAATTATCGCGTGTTATTACAAAACAACGATAAGAAACCAGAAAGAAAGAAAGAGAGAAAGATAGAAAGAAATGAAGAAAGAAAGAAAGAAAAAAAGAAAGTAATATGCAGCTTTTAAAGGCGGGAAGGAAGAGAGAGAGAGAGAGAGAGAGAGAGAAAGAAAGAAAAGAATACTAATAACTGTGTTTAGAAGTTGCTTGATAAATTATTCTACAGCATTACCTGATCAAAAAGAAAAATGAACTGTTAAAATCAACGCAAAAACTAAATGCATCTATTTATTACATAGTTGTACACTGCTCCAGGTTATTTAAATCAAAAATACCGTATTGTAAAATAAATATTATGAAAAAGATGTCAAATATTATTATTATAACTGGATAAGAACATGCCTAAAGCATACACATTTAATATTTTAAACAGATAAGAATCATCAAAACATAACTGTGATAAAGGATTTTCTTTGAAAAACAGTTTGTGTAATGCCTAATGAAAGTTGGAGAGCTGATATCTTTATAAACAAAGATAAAATAGATATCTTAGAATAAACAGTTGATTAACTGTTGCAAAAAAAWAWATATATATATAGATAAAAACACAAGAATGAATAATAAGACAACTTTTTTAAAAGGGAAAAGACAAATAAAAAATGTTTCAAAATCTATTTAAAAATGTTTATAATTCTTATAATTATAAAAAAAAATTATAATTATTGCCATGAAGCTAGAAGAGGTTAACATGGGTTGAGAAAAATAAATTACTCATTGATTCAAAATCGAAGGACATTTCTATAATGATATGATAATAATAGTAATTAGAAGTGAGAAAAAAACATGGTTTGATGGATCTCATTAAAGCGTTCTTTCATGAAGAAATTATGATAAACAGGTGCTAAAATCAAAGATAAAAATAACAAAGAAGCCTTCATTAGTGAAAAAGCAGGCTGTTTATGGAAAATATATTTCCAACGTATACCATGAAAGTATTTAAAAGGTAAAAGATACAGAAATAATTATATAAAATTAAGATAAGATCATAGTAAAATAATAAAATAATAATAATAATAATAATAAT